CCCTTGATAATATCCTCTTGTCCTTCACTTTCTCCCTGGACTGTGCCCAGTCCATCCGGGGGCTGTGTCCCTTCTCCTTGCGAATGCCCTTTGGTGCTCCAACCTGCCCCAGTCTGTCTCCACCTGCTTTGCTCAGGTTTAAGGCTGGGCAGGCAGCACCAGGGATGTGGAGGACAGTGACAGGGCTGGGACTGAGGGAACCCAGCCGGCCCAGTGTAAGAGCAAATCTCCCTGACGTCTAACAGCAGTTGTGCTCCTACAGCCCTCCAAAAACTTCTGAAAATTTTCCCCAAAGGGAAATGGATCCTGAGTGTAAAGACACATTTCTGCAGAATCCAACACGATGAAGTGGCTCAGTGTTTGCACAGTGGGTCTTTCAGAGCTAACATTTACCCAGATTTCCCAGCAGGAAAGGAGGAAGGAGCAAACTACATAACCCAACAAACATCTTTTTTCACACACTTACAACTTCCTCAAAAAAAGCTCTTTGGGAAGTCACCCAGGCAGGTTTGCAGGTTTTACCCACTTTGGTCTTACCCATCGCTTCTCCCTCTCTCGGAATGGTGATGGGGAATGCTGAACCTGGAGCTGGCCGGGCTGGTGGCCGGGGGCTGCATCGGGCACTGTCCCTGCCTCACCCTTCCTGCGCAGGGCAGGGATGCTTTGTTTGCCTTTCGTGCCTGTGCAATCTGATTCAGCCTTTTGGCTTTTTCCCTCAGGATCCACCTAAAGAGAAGTGTCCCATAGCCATCTCCGTGGCATGGGAGGGGAGAGGCTGGTGCCACCTTGTTACAGCTGCTCCAGCCTTGCATTGACAGCGTGGACTGAGCCCTGTACAAACCACTCAGCCTTCCCTGGGTGGAATTCAAGTCCCCATCTTCTTGTTTCCAGGGCAGTATTTACCAGCAGAGACATCCAGGGCTGACGTTACCCTGAAATGACCATGTTGATACAACTCCTGGTGGGATGCTCTGTATCTGGAGCTCCATTTTCTGGTTTGGCTGGTGCTGCTCTGGTAACACCACCAGCTCTCCATCATCTGGGACTGCCAGGGAGTAGACATCCCACTCGGGGCATCTGGGGTTCTCCAGCTTCTCCTTGCAGAGCTGGCTTGAGTCTTGCATTGCCCTGGAGCCAGTAAGAGACCCACTTCGTGGAACAGCACCCGTCAGAGGCAGTAGGAGCCAGAGGGGTGTTCCAGTGAGGAGCAGTGCAGCCAAGGGACCCCAAAACCCCCAGGAGAATTCAGGTGGAGGACAGCGGTGTTGCATAGCTGTCCCCATGCCCTGATCCCCAAGGGCCCGGCACCAGGGAGCACACACGGGGCATGCAAGCATTTTCTAGCAAGCTTTGCCTTCTCCCACCCCACTCCTGAGCCACCCCTGGGACACCAAGTAAACCTTTTCCTTCCGGACGAAGCGTGGGCTCAGCAGGTTGGTAGGGCTGCAGGAAAGCAAATATACATCTCTCCATCCCGATGCAGTGCCCAACAGGCACTGGCACTGCCCACGCTGCCTGCCGTCGGCGGGAAAAGAGAGGACAGCACATGGGGTGGGGAAACATCCTTGCCCACCCTGCTCGGGTAGCCCACTCGCATCCCGGTGGCAGCCACCCAGGAAGAAGCAAGCAGGTGGCTGACAGCAAGGTGGGACCATGCCCAGATCCGTTCTGCGAGACACGAGGAAGACAACAACGGCAGCGGTGCTCTGGTTAGTCACTGCCGGGAAGCGTGCCATGCTGGAGGCTGCTGGCAGGCCGGCAGCGTTTTCGGCCACCTGGTGTGCGGGGCCTTATTTTGATGATGATTTCAAGATTTCTCTGAGGAGGGGTACAGCCGGACAGCGGGAGTCGGTGGGAAGCACAGAGGAAGGAAGAAACTGCAGGAGCTTGTTAGGGACAGTCCCCAGGGTGCCTTGGCTATGGGACCAGGCTGTCCCCATAAGGACCACGCTCCATGTGGGACCGTGCAACTCGGGAGGCAGCTGCTGCAGGTGCTAAAACTGGGTGCCTGTCACCTGCTGGGTGTGCAACCGTCAAGGTGACACATGTCCAGGAGGTTTGGACCAAAGATCCTAAAGCTGTTGGGGACATGAGGTCCACCAGCCCCTTCCCTGGCATGGAGGGGGACCCTGCAGGGCTCCCCCATCTCTGCCCAAACAATGACTGGAGGGAGGCAGGGGAGGACACGGGAGTGGGGACGCAGCAGATGCATTTCGTCACCCGGCCAAGGGGTGTGTGTGTGTGTTGGGGGAAGGGGTGGCTGGGTGTGTGGGCACATTTATTGCCTCTTCCCGCCAGCACCGGCTCCCTGTGCACACACGGGCGGCAGGGACCTAAGGGCACAGCGCATGGCTCGATGGACTTTTACCCTGCTGTGCAAACAGGCAGGCGCCAGATTAGGGTATCAGTTGGAATTTCATCCTGTCAACGGCACCCGAAGCCTCTCTGGGTGGGAGGCAGAGCATCTTACCTCCAGCCCGGCCCCTTGCCCACCCACAGGCACCCCAATGCAGCGGGGGAATTTGGGAGATGCACGTTTCATCCCCGCCCCCCCGACTCTGTTCCCTTTCAAGTTTCCCCCTTGCAGGTGATGCTGATGCCCGGAGCTGGGCTGCCACCACCCCGTCCCCTGCCAGAGTAGGATCCCACCAGCCAGTCCCCATGTGGCAATGACAAAATTGGATGTCAAAGGCAGGCAAAGCCCTGCGAGGGAGGAGGATGCACGTGGAGGAGCCAGCCCCCAGCATGGGGACCACACTGGTGTCTCCACACAAAAGTAACCCTAGTTTCCCCAGTCCAGCCCACCTCTTTGGGCAGGTGGCCCATCCAGTCCCATCCCTTTTCCCATCCAGCACCAGCTCCTTTGTCTTTGCCTCCCCCAGCTTGTTTTAGCTCCTGATGCTCCACGTTCCCTTGCAGGGGTGCAGGGAGGTGGTGGTCCCATGCTATGGGCAGCCCAGATGCCGTGCCGGTGAGCGCAGGGTCACCAGGGTGCAGCAGTAGGCACAGCCCCTATTGCAAGGTCAGGAAAAACCCTTTGCTCTGTCTGTCTCTTGGCAGCGCCACCTCATCTTGTCCCTGCTCCTCCATCTTCTCCACCCACGAGGACTTTATCCTGCATCAGGTGTCCCTCCACAGCCACCTGCCCTGCCCGGGCACCTCGGCACACACATCTCCACCTCTTCCCAGAGAACTCTTGGCATGTTTGAGGGGCTGGAGGAGCCGTTTTGGGCAAGGATTCAAAGGCAGCCCCTTGCTTAGTGCCCTGCAGGACCAGAGAGACGTGACTGGGATGAAGAGAGTAGAATGTCGGGCACCGATGCCAGCTGTCCCAGGCATTATCTCACATCCTCGTTCTCTGTTTGCTCATCTTGGACAAGGAGGATATTCAGCCCATCAACAGCCATAAAATGAGATTAGAGGCCAGGAGGCACCAATGGGAGGTGGCCACATCCGTGGGCAGCTGGCCTTGTTCTTTGGCCTCCATCAACCCAAGCCTGGCCTCACCCTTTCCCCTGCTGCCCCCGGGGCTGGGAGTTTGCAGCTGCTGGGTCACCCGGCACAGCCAGCCCTCTTGGTGGCAAAGGGATGGGATGCGGCCGTGCCGTGCCACAGTACGGGCCATGCCGCTGCCAGCAATGCCCCTGCAGGATGGGCACACTGTGTGCTCCAGGGGCAAAGCTGCTGCGTCAAGACATCCATCTGCATCCTTTTCAGTGGGGCTGGGCAGGACCCCTTGTCCCTGAACCCGACTGTGCTCAGGGGCATCGGAGATGGTGTGACCCCGGAGCCAGCACCCCTCCCCTGCCACAGCATCGCAGGCCAGGAGGAGACAGCAACAAACCCATGGTGCGCGGGATTCCTGCTCGCTTTTATTTTCACCGATGGCTAAAAAATAAAAAGGAAAACCAATTCTGCCTTATATACACAAAAACTGAGCCAAAGTCCTGAGCCAATGCAAACATTTGTCCTCACCACTGAGTGAAGCTGGCAGCGGTGGCCAAGGGAGGTGTCACTGGCCCCCGCAGGAGGGAGACCCAAATCCTACGAAGGCTGGAGCGGGGTGGGGAGGGCAGGGACCCACTTGTAAAAGCCGCAGCGTGCCGGGGCACCTTGTTTTCTGAGCCAGGAGGGGCTGGGAGAGGTGCGAGGCTGGTAGTGGACAGGGTGGCCGGGGGATGCAATGCACAAGGTGTCTGGTGCGATGCGGGGGCTCAGCTGGACACTCTGCAGGCAGCGGGGGACACGTCTGCTGCTCCACCTTTCTGGAGCTTGGAGAGACGGTGCTGGGAAAGGTCATGGAAGCTGTCACGCAAGGCTCGTGCTCCCTCATCCCTGCCTTGGTCTTGGGCCCAGGAGCACCTGGCATGGCCCCGAGCAGGAGCCACAGACCCTCCTGTGTCTCAGTTGTGCCCAGTTGGCCTCTGAGGCATCTGAAACTGGGCTGGAAGTTAACCCGGGCCAATACAGCGGTCAGGACTCAGCAGGATGAAGGGACATTTCAGCTGCGGTTCACCAGCAGGAAAAGAGGGATATTAGTTACTGGCCTGGGCACGCAGCGGGTGCATGGAGGAGTGGGGAGACAGGAAGTGCAAAACCTGGAGTCCTCTGGGTTTTGAAGAAATTAGGAAAAAACCATTTCTCTCTCTTTCTGGAAACCAACTCTCCATTACCTAACATCAGGGCATGTACCAGCCCTTTGTCTGCCCGAGACAGCCCCTGCCCACCCTGGCAGCAGCCCCTGGTGCCCACAGCGGCTGTGCTCCCTTGGAGCAGCACCCCAAAGCTGTCCCAGTATCAGTCCTTCTGGACAGCCTGGGGCTGGTTCTTGCACTCTGTCCCGATGTTAAACCTTCTTATTCTCCTCCCCTTCCCCACAGGAAGGTGGTCTTAGGGCTCAGCAAGGTGGTCTGCCTCCGGAGTGCCTGTGCCTGGCTCCCTTCTCTCATCTCCCTGTGCTCTGGGTGGAGGATGGCTGCGGTGTTGCCTTGCCGTGGCACAGCCCGGGGCACCAGGGCTGCCAGACACTTCTCCACGTGGCTCTTGGTGGCTGCAGGGGCAGAGCTGAGGGCACAGGAGTGGGTTCTGCCAGGGTGGCTGGGGGATGTGGGTAAGGATATGCAGGGATTCTCACCAAGGACATGCTCCTGCTCACCACCATCACCATGGTTGGAAGGAGTCTCCTCTCGGGTCCTATGCTCCAAGGTTCTGCCTGGCTCCTGCAGTCCAACTCGCTCTGCCTTCGGCATCCCCCCTTCCCAGCATGGCAGATCCAGGAGACCAGCTCAGAGAAAATCTGTTTTGCCTTGAGTCCAGCCAGGTCTTTTTTCTAGTTCAGTCTTGTTCAAACTGCTGCAAAAGCACCAGGCAGCTGGATCACCAGGAGGACCAAAGGAAGCATCCTATCAGCTCCACCTGAAGCACCGTAGGAAAGTCATCCTCCACCACCATCCCCTTCCTTCTGCTGACATTAGGACCTTGCTTTGGGCTACAAATACTAGAGACCAGACCGGTGCATGTTTCTTACAGGACAGCAATACTACCTAACCTATGGTTTTTACATAGGAGAGAGCCCACCAGCCCCTTGGGAAGGTCCCAGTGCCACCTTGCCCAGCCTTGCTGGCCACCCCATCGGTTCAGCCAGGAACCATCGTGTCTTTGGGAAGGGGCTGTCACTCTTCAGAGCACACGGACCGGCTGGGCTCTGCTGCATAGTGCTTATGTCTTGGTGTCTATAGCTGGTGAAGGGGGTTAAGGCATGAATTCTTCCTTGATCGTCAGTGGAGACGAGGAGACGAGGTTCGGGGCACTGCTGCTGCAGAGGCCTCCGATGGGTCCCAGCGTGCCGACAGCTGGCGGGGTCGGTGTGGTGGTGCTGGTGGGCTGGCTTTGCTGCTGCATCTTCTTTTTGTTCACCTTCCTCTCCTTCGCCCTCCGATTTTGAAACCAGATTTTCACCTGCAGAAAGACAAAGATGACGACGCAGAGATGGGGATGGATGCAGCCAAAGATGACAACCCTCAGGGTCCCCCTGAGGCACGGAGGGCATCCCAGAGTTTGGAAGAGAAGGGAGATTTGTGAAGCAAGGTGGGGCCACCGCTGCCTGCTTGGGCTGCAGCCCTTCCCCTCCCCAGCCCCTTCTCCACCCGGGACGTGGTTTTCCCGGGACACTGCAGCACTGACCTGTCGTTCGGTGAGCCCGAGGGCAGCGGCCAGCTCGGCCTTACGGCGGCTGGTGCCGGAGAGGCTGCTGCTGACATTCCTTCTCCAGCTCCAGGCGCTGGTGGTCTGTGTATACCACCCGGTACTTATCTTTTGTCCTGGTCTTGCCTGGTAGAGAAAGCAAAGCAGGGGTGAGCTGAGAGGGGATGAAGGGAGAAGTGGAAGGGTAGGAGCATCCCCAAGGTCACGGAGGAGATGATACACAACCACCTGTGGAAAGCATATGGCAATGCCCTGGGGACCAGTGGAACAGAGAGTCATCAAGCTCATGGATTTAATGCCCATCCTGGTTAGCACCAGGGTGTTTCTCCATGTTGGAAAGTACCTGGGCTTTGGGGAAATTGCTTGGTGGAAAGAGCAGGAGGGATTCAGAGGCATCCCGAGAAGATGGACCATAAATCCCATGTGCCATGACACACCATCCCCAAGAGGAGCAGAGCTGCAAGTCCTGCAGTGGGCTGAGGACAAGCTGTCTGCAAAAATACAGCCTTAGAAGGCTGAGGGAAGCCAAGCTTTTTGCCAGGAAGCCCAAACCCAAGGTGTCAGCAGTTGAAGACACACAGATCAGGACAGGGGAGAGATGGAAAACCCAGGGATGACAGCATTCCTCTGCCACCAAGAGGATTATTTTCCTTTTCCCTGTACCAAGCTAAGACGGAGGGCAGTGCTTCTTCATTTGGTTCAGTCTTTAAAGATGCACTGGAGAAATCCCACATGATGCACAAGCATTCCTGGGGACTGGCTCCATGGGCCAGTGCCCGTGTTTGGCCAAAGCCAGCCTGAATTTTGCCTTAGGCCCCCCCAGATATGGACAGAGCTCAGGGCCATCAAGCCCCACATTTCTGTGTACACAGATGCACATCCCACCGGACTGCAAACAACACCTACTGCTTTCTAGCAGAAAAATACAGTCCAAAATAGCCCAGCCATCTTCTCCGTTAGCTCCTTTGTTAATCCACACACACAGTGAGTGAGCTGCGGAGCAGGAGCCAACGGCTTTGAACTCTGCCTGGGCTGGGGTCCGCGGGGGTGTGGGTGGCACTTCGAGGAAGGATGCCCACGCCCAGCAGTTTGCTGACAAGTCTCTGGTGCTTTCCTCTGCAGAAGGGCCCATGGGTGGGGAATAAACACAGCTGCGAATATTTGCTTCTCCACCCGAAATAACAAAATCCTGTTCCAGGGCATTGAGAGGGATGGAGCCATGCTTTCAGCTGAGCAGCCACTGTCCTTCCGACTGGGAACCTGGCCATTTGTTTGCCTGGCAGACACGTTTGCCCATCTTCTCCTGGATTTCTGCTGCTGAGAGCAGTGCTGCCATGGGAAGGGGCAGGAGCAAGCCCAGAACAGCTCCATGGATTTCCCCAGGGCTGCCCTGCGTGTACCTGCATTGACAGGATACTGCCCATCACTGCTGCAGATGTGCAGGGAGGGATTTCGAGTGACCCAGAAACCAGTACAACCTTTCTTGCAACCTGCTTCCCCCAGGAAAGGGGATCTTTGTGTGCCTGCCACCATGTTCATTTGTTCCCCTTAACAAGTCCTTGGCACATCGGATGGACATTGAGAAGTCTCAGCCATATTATTAAATTCTGAGCATCCTAGTAGGAGCAGGAGTATGGGTGGCACAGAGCAAAACTGTGCTTCAGAGACTCCAGAGAGGACTAGACCCTAATCAGACATCAGAGAACCTCCACAGAGCAAAACCCCAACACCCAGGCTGCAAATCTGTTTCTCAACCAGCTCAATTTTATTTTTAAGGGTGTCTCTCCCCTGCTTTCCCATTACAAGGAGATGGGGACTTTCCAAAGCCACTTCTTATGCTGAAAGATAAATGTAAAAGTGTGTCAGAGATGGGACAACCCACGGTCACGGTACGCTGTGAGTGGGAGAGGGACTCCCTTGGGGTCATTTCCCTCACAGTATCCCATGGGATGCAAAAAGGCAGCTGTTTTTCTACTAAATAAGCAAGAGCCGGCAAAGGTCCAGCTCCTGCCATTGGCCTCTGAGCAAACCACGTGTGGAAGCACATGAGTGTGCACAAAGCCCTGGGCACCAGTGGGAGCCAGGGTGGGCATGGGAGGTGTCTTGCCCTGCTGGGACTTGACCCCGATGTTCCCAGGCACAAAAGCAGCAGCCGTCCGATCCAAGTTAGCACCCAATTTCCATGACCGTGTCACACTCTGCGTCCTCCTGCCATCGCTCCTGGAGCTGGCATGGGCTCAGCACAATGGGAGCAAGGTGATGGCCGAGGGTCCCAGCGTTGTCCCCAAGAGGCACTGAGGCTCTCCAGCAACCCACGGAGGAGGGTGAGGAGCACAGCAAGGCTGCAACACGGCCAGGAACAGAAACCAGACCTCCCAGCATCAGGGCTGGGCGTTAGCCACAAACTCATATTTGAGGGACGTGATGAATTCAGTCACTGCCTTAGAGAGCGAGGAGCCCAGGTCATCCCAGGGCTGTTTGGAAGCGAAGACCTAATCGCTCCTCACCACTGCCGAGAGCAAACCTGCCTCTGGCCACTCAGGGTGACTCTGCAGGTAAAAACAGGGTAAAAAAGGTAATTTGATTGAGCAAGGTGTGTATGGAGATGTCTGCAGACACGGGGCTGGAACACAGCGATTTGGTCTGCGAGGGGTCTACGGCAACATCACCGGGCGTTTGTCTCCTCTTTGGCACACATCAGCTGTGGTGGCTCGAAACAAAACTGACCACGGCACAGTGCCGGGCTGGAGCGATGCCGGGGCACCCGGCCCACGTGGGACCCCACGCTCTCCCCTCGCTCTCCCGTGGGGCCCCTGTCCTTCCCGTGGGGTCACTGCCACTTCCCACCACCCCGCAGGTGAAGGGTTCATTGGTGTGAGAGGACTTCTGCAGCCCAGCCCAGGAAGGACCTGTGCTGAATTTGCAAACACAGCGATTCCCGGGGAGTTACAGAATTAACCAGATGTGCCGGCAATTTATGCGAGGTTTAGCAGCTTCGTGAGAAACCGGGCTCCCTCTGTCTGCTCCAGGCTTAGGGATTCCTACATGTTTTTTCCTTTCTCATATAAATTTATCTTTTTTTTTTTTCATTCAAAAGCAAAAACCTTTCTGAAGAGATAATGACTTTAAAATTCTCTTATTTGCAATATTGCTATTTGAATACCACTGCTTGGAGAAAAAAACAGCTTGAAAGCAAAGGAATTGACAGATAAAGTAAAAAAAAATAAATTAAAGAATAAAATAAGGCGGTTTGTGAATACCACATATGCCATGAATTTCAGCAGGCATTATTATTTCCTGCTGCAGCTGTAAATAGATCCATCACAGCTTGTTCTTTGTTATTCCCTCTTCATCATTCATCCCTGATGAAGCCTACGCTTTGCCTCAGGTCTGGCAGATGCCCGGCCGTGCCGGTGAGCTGTCGCTGTGCGAGCCAGGCACCACTCTCTCGCTGCCCAATACCAGGTAGCAAAGACCAAAGCAGAGGGCTGATGACCAAGCCAGAGATGGAATATTATTCATCTCGACTAATTGCTGGTTTCTGCGATGTTTGCTGAATTCGGGAATGTATTGTGGGTGATTCACAAGGAAAAGAAGAGGATTCGCAAGAAATACTGTTGACAATGAATAATTCAACTACCTTGAATATGAATGCTGGGTTACGCTTAACTCTCTCCTGGAGACTTTTTTATGGCTCTGTGAAAGGAAAGAGGAAATCTGGAACAAGCCAGCCCTGCCTCTTACGGGGAGCCCTCGTACCTACGGGGAAACCCCAGTGCTGCAGTGGGGAGCATGGCCGAGCAGAGAGTTGGAGCTGCTCCCGCATTTCCAGCAAAGCCCGGCGGAGGTGGATCGGGCTATCCCACAGCCGGGATAGTCCAGAGCTGCTGCTGCTGCCCCGGGAGGGAGCAGGGATGGGGTGCACGGGGTGCAAAGGGGGTGCTGGTGATGCCTCCTAGCACAGCTGCTAGCCCCTTCCAGCCCTGCTATGCATTTAAAGTCTCTCCTGCTTGTGCCCAAAGACCAGGCAAAGGAACTGCTCCGGCAGCCAAATGAAGCCATTGGCAGGGCCGGTGGGAATGGTTTCAGCTTTGGGATTAAGGCAGGGCCAATGGCTGTGTGGAGAGAGGGTATCGTTACTACTGTTAATGTATAACCCTAATAGCACTCACCTGAGCCGTGATTAGATAAGGGAATAGCTTTAATGTGCTGTGCAAACCCCAAGGGACGCACTCCTGAGTGTGCACGCACATGCACTCGCACACACGTGGGGGGACGGGGTCCTGACCCCCAGCCCGGGTCTGGTCCCCACAGCAGCCTTGCCCCAGGGACAGGGATGCTGGAGCTCCTGCCCTGGACCGGGTCAGGAGCCTGGCAGGGGAAGGGAAAATCAAACTAGATCCCTGTGCTCACCATCCCGGGCCCTGCACCCTCATGGCCACAGCAGAGGCTGCCAGGCA